TCCTCATCTGTGCCTGGACAGTACTCAGTACTGGCTTGGCGGTGTTAAGTTTGCAGCTGGGGTCAGTGATCTTCCAACCTAAATGATTCTGTGATTCTAAAGCCAGCGTTAACCTTACTTTCTCATTCCAGGCCAACTCTTCAGTGGGTTCTACATGCAGGTCCCTTATGTGTGCTGCTTATAGAATGTGCAGATTCGTTTTTAAAACCAGTGTTGTCTCAAGTATCACACTGGCATATATGTTAATACGGGAAAAATATAGCGACACAAAGATGGTCATCACTCTTGCATGTCTTTAATGAATGATTTATTTTAAAAGCTGCAGCAAGATAGATAAGTAAGATATTGCATGCATTTGGATCCAGGAAAAATGCAGATGAGTCAGTTACACAGTAACAACAAACCAGATCTTGGCCACCTTGGTGGGTGCATAAATGCTTGGATGTCATAGGTAGAAAATGCAGTGACATGACTCAGCAGTGCTTACTGGAAGACCTGTTGAGGAGAAGGAGTTGAGATGACTTTTGCGCTGTAGAAAGCGTAAAAAGATCTGGAAAAAACCAGATTGGATAATTACAGTAAGAAGCTGAAGAGATATATTTGTTCTTACGGCCTTTAAGCCACAGTTTGGAGTAGGAGTAGAATATGACAGGCAGTCAGGGAGTTGAATCTGTAATAAGGCCTGGCAGTGTAAACTGAGGTCCTGAATAAATGTCAGATTTGAATTTCTGTTTATTTTTGGAGAGGGTAGACTTAGACTAGATCTACGGAAAAAAAATTTACGGTGAGGGTGATGAAACACTGGCACAGGTTGCCCAGAGAGGTGGTGGAGGCTCCACCTCTGGAGATATTCAAGGTCAGGCTGGATGGGGTTTTCTGAGCAACCTGATCCAGTTACAGATGTCCCTGCTCACTGCAGGGGGGTCAGGCTAGATGACCTTTAAAGGTCCCTTCCAACCCAACCCATTCTATGGTTTTATTTCCTGAGATTTTTTCTACCATCAGCTAGCCTGTGGTTCTGTCATTTTAAGCAGTCTCACTTGAAAATTACAACTTTCTGAGGCTGAAGAAGCTCTCCACATTATTGGCACTCCCATGTAGTATCTAACTAGGAGGTCGCTTTCCAGCAGGATCCTTATGCTTTTGTTGTCAGAGTTCAGCGCAGCTCATTCAACTCCTCAACTGCTGTAGAAGTTATTATGGAGCAGAGCTGAGTGCAGCTGCAATGGGACCTGCCTGGCTGTGTGACTTTACCTGTCCCACAGGACCTGATATATTGTCTCACTTTGGGCAGTCTCTGCATGGTACTCGTGAGGACCTGCCTGTCTACTGACTTAACGTGTCCTCTTCCCTGAACACCCTCAGAATCCATCTGCATCAATATACGTTGATACATATGTATATAGTACCTTTCTTCTGTAGACTTACAGCTTTTTCTGCCAGGATGTAGCAGTTTTGTGTTCAGAGGGATCCCTCAGTTGAGAAGGCACACAGCAGTAGCGGAGCACCACTCTTGATTTTTGGTTGTTTGGTTTGTTTATATTGGTATGATGCACGACTTTTTTGATGTCAATAACTAAATGACATTCCTTACAGTGAATGTGCTGTTTTGGGATACTCTTTCAGCCTGTGTACTTTGAAACTTTGTGGCTGCTCCTTACCTGGGATTCTGCATGAGTGATGGAGCTGAAAGATGTATGCGTTGCTGTTACACCCTTCTATGGGCATGTAAGGGCTTCTACAGCATAGCCTTAGCCCCACAGCTGTTTTCAGCAGGTTTGTCACTTATATCTGACGAAAGATATTCACAAGCTATGTTTTTTTGGACTTACAATTAAGAGAAAATAGGACAAATGGAAGCTTTTAAAAAAGTCCTATTAAGCTTTGGTGTGGCAGAAGGTCTTCATAGCTGTCCAGAGATGTCTCTAGGGATGAAATAGGGCTGTGCTGATTTTTACCAAGTTTTTTAGTAGTTACAAAACCAAAGTTCAGCTGTTTTCTAAACTGCAAAATTAGGTTGCACATTCTTCCAGAATCTAATTGAAAGGGCTTGTTACATAAATGTGGTCTGTTGGTGCTTTTAGAGAATTACTGTCTGTTCTGTGTGAACCATGTGAAGGGTTCAGTATCTTCATCGGTGACCTGAATGAGGGGATAGAATGCACCCTCAGCAAGCTTGCTGATAATACGAAACTGGGACGGGTGGCCGACACACAGGAGGGCTGTGCTGCCATCCAGCGAGAACTGGACAGGCTGGAGAGCTGGGCAAAGGGGAACCTCATGAAGTTCAGTAAGGACAAGTGTAGAGTCCTGCATCTGAGGAGGCACCAGCACAGATCAGGGGACGTCCTGCTGGAAAGCAGCCCCATGGAGACAGCCCTTGGAGTCCCCGTGGGCATTGAGTTGTCCCTGGGACAGCAATGTGCCCTTGTGGCCAAGAGGGCCAGTGGGATCCTGGGGGGCATTAAGAAAAGTGTGTCCAGCAGGCCTAGGGAGGTTCTCCTACCCCTCTACTCTGCCCTGGTGAGACCACACCTGAAGTACTGTGTCCAATTTGGGGCTCCCCAATTTGAGAGAGACAGAGACCTACCGGAGAGAGTCCAACGGTGAGCTATGAGGATGATTAAGGGATTCGAATCTCTCTCCTATGAAGAGAGACTGAGAGAACTGGGGCTGAGAGGGGATCTTATTAACGTATAGAAATATATGAGGGGTGGGTGTCAAAAGGAAGGGGACAATCTCTTTTCAGTGGTGCCCAGTAATAGAACACAAAATAATAGGTTTCACTTAGAACATAGGAAGTTCCACCTCACCATGAGGAGAAACTTCTTCCTTGTGCGGGTGCTGGAGCCCTGGCCCAGGCTGCCCAGAGAGGGTGTGGAGTCTCCTGCGCTGGAGACTTTCCAACCCGCTTGGA